AACATCCTCAAGAATATCAAGATCAATCTCAAGTGTTCTCTTCATTTTTTCTTGAATCATTTTTATAACAAGCTTATCTATTTATATTTATTTTAACACATCACCCCCCTTAGAGTCCCCCTCAAGGGGGACATCTCGCATCGATGATGCGAGAGTCGCTGCAATTTATAAAGTTCTTTTACACACACCCACACCCCCCCACACCCCGGCCCACCCTAACTCTAAATAAAATCACGTCACTATGTGACGTGATGTCGTGAAAACTTGTTTCACAAGTTTTCCGTTAATAAATATCAAACCCTACCTCTCATTCGAAAGAATATATTTCCTCGATTAATCTGTTAATCTGTGAAACAATAAAACCTATTTAAACTCTTAGAATTCCATTCTCATTATTCAAAATGCTAATTTCAAAGCTGCTTTCAAAACTTTCAATCGAATTAATTGTTATCATTTTTAAATCATGTTACTCATATGAAGATGAGATACGTCTAGCTCTCGCAAATAAATATCTTTTCAATATCTTTTTAACACATATTAAAGTACCGGGGATCGTATTTCTCGAGGTCAATCCAATTACAAACACAACAGAAATTTTTACAATCGCCAATTATGATAGCAAAATTAGTAAACCCAAAAGAAAAACCAGTCGAGTTACCTTTCATCAAAAACATAATCGAAATGGATGTTCCAAGTGTAAGTTAAATAAATGCAAAGATCACAAAGGTATACAAAGAACAATTAGATATAGCAAGAGAGGTCGTCATCCATATTGCAGAAGCCCATCTTGCAGAAGCCCATCAAGCTCACGTCGTACCTACCTGAAAACCATAACTCAATTTGATCAAATGTTCAAATCTATTTGTGCGAAGTGTGGAAAATTGCAATTATGCAAACCATGTTGCGTCTTAAATAACTGTTGTGGAATACCAACATGTCAAATGGGTATCATTAGTGATCATAATGTATTCACACTTAGAGCATATGATCACGTTCACAATCACAGTCTCTGTGAATCTTGTTTCAACCATATACCCAAGAGTAAATTTATCAATGTTACGATTAATTCTTTCTTTGTATAAATATAATTTATTCAATAAAAAGTTATTTTAAATTTATTGCACATTCGATAAGGATCACTTCACTCAAATCTTATATGCTTCTCTTGATTTCTACCATCTTGCTCCAAAATCATTCTCTTAGTCGGTACTGGAATAAAAAAATTACGAATGTCGTGAATCGTCATCCTATCATCAATCATCATGACATGATTCCTCAAAAATTTTTCTGCATTTTTTTGACTAATCTCATCTCTCTTCTTATAATCAATATCATTTGTTTGAAATTGAGCATAATGATTAATAAAACGTGCTAATGTTCCAATGAGGGTATTGATATAATATCTCATATCAATTTTCATCTTCTTATTATCAAAATACTTCACGAGGACCATCTTCTGATGAATCTTCGCATTCTTATCGGGATGTCGAATGATATAATAATTAAATCGTTCACCCGCCTCAATTTCAATTTTTTTCTTTCGCATACGATTTACAAATTCGTTCACTGATATGTTCTTATTGAGAGGCCGATATGTCGCAGATAATGTAAACACAGTTATATCATTATACTTATTCTTCATATGAGATTCAATCGTTGATAAAACAGTATCAAGTGCATCCATATCATTATCCATATCCACAATTCTCTTCATTACATCTTCACACATCTTCTTGAAATACTCTGATTTCCCTTTCTTCACGATATCAATTCCTCGAATAAATAATTTCTGAGGTCGAAAATTGATCATATTAACATGTTCAATACCAAAATATTTCTTTTTACCAGTAAACATCACTGGAAA